AACTCATCACTGAGTACGTAGTGTTTGAAAAAGTTGAATATCCTTGCAATAAAATATATACTTATTTTTTAATATAACTTACTGTTTTACAACCAATTTTGACCTATATAATCTATTTATATATGTATAATAATTTCGATATGATTATCAATTCCTTGTACAGTATCATATTATGGAAGTGTTAATACGAGGGCGAAGGCCGAAGGGTTGAAATCAAGGCGGGCGGTAATCAGCTGGCGACCGCGTAATGGCCCCGTCGGGACAGCCACGGCTTGAGACATTCAAGGATAGGGATAGGGATACATATAGGGATAGGGATGGGGTAACGCTTCTTGGACGACTTTTTATATAGTTTTTATATTTTCGTAAAATTGTAATTGACTTTTCATGTATTAAGAATTGTGTATGCATTGTATTATTTGATTAATTTGATTTAAAAATCTAGTTTTATCTTTATATATAATTGTTTAAGTCTAAAAAATGTTTCAGTGGTTCTTGTAGAATTTGACGTAAGATATTGTTATGAAATTAAGAAAAGTTTAATAAATCGATCCTAATATTTAAAAGCTAATTTATTATTATTTATTAAGCCAGATGAGTAAATAGTTTTATACATTTTTAATAGTAGTCACGTAGTATGTTGTTAGTATATTTTGTAAACCAGAGATTAAAATTAGATTAAAATGCGACCAGTTTAACGGATGTTTAATGAAGCGGCAGCCCTGGCAGGAATAATTCTTAGGAGGGATTAAGACAATGGCCGTGTTTATTCTTTATCGCAGCCGTGGGAAATTTACGCGCTGGGTTATAATTAAAATATTTCCATTCACAACGCCACACCGCTTAATTAAACTAACCTAATCAGAGATGCTTAAAAATATATATGTATATAAATAAAAGTAAATAAAAAACAAAGGAAAAATCTTCGTTACTAAAAAATCTTAGTATTCGTATTTGCAGTATTTCAGCGTTTGTACTTTTACTACATCGTATTTCTTATTCTTCTACACGCGGAATGAAATAACGTTAATTAGGATACATACATAACAAAGTAAGATTTTGTATGTTTCCCTTTGTTATACGATTATTGTAATAATTGACGTTTTCACATAAACAAAAGTACAAAGACTGTAATTGAGGGGTCCCTATGAAAGGAGTAATTACGCGTCTGCGAATGTCTGCACAAATGACTAGAGACGATCGAGTTAGACAATGGTAGGGGAAAATTATAGCGTCTTGAGTATAAGTAAAAATTATAAAAGAAAAACATGTCATATACCTATATAGCTAGTATTCATAGTAATATTGCATATGGAATAAAGACAATTCTACTATGTACCTATTGAGGAATAGTGAGTTAAAATTGGTTGAATACTTATAAAGAAAAGACGAATCTCTTTTGTTTTCGACAGCTTATTTCATTTAAGAAATTATGAACTTAACGTTTGTTATAAAATTTCTTATGCATTTTTTTTATTCTATATAACAATGAGCAAATACAATTGAAATTATTTGTCACAAACGTCCTACGAAATTTGTATCTGAAGTTATATTAATGAGCCAACTTAAAGTACGTCCGTGCGGTTGGCAATATTGACGGGTACATAGCCATCAATATTGCCAACGCTCCGACGACACGGTACAAATGAAGCTTCACAATTAAGGGTACACACGGAGGCACGGAACATTTACCGGTGTCACGTACCTACCGCCTCGCACTTAATTTCGCAAGGGGGGGTTGTGGTTTTAAATTACGCTCCCCCCCACCTTAACCCCCACTGCATCGACAGCCTAGTTGAGACTGATAGTTGCACGATTTGCTTCCAATAGCTTTTTGGGTCTTTGATTTTAATCGCCTCTAACTCTCGTCTTGCTGATTTTAGTTTAAAAGTATATTAAACACATTAAATTAAAGAAAACCGTATTGTCAATTCCAGCTCAAAGATTAATATTTTGGTTGGTGAGTGATAAAAATTTGTAAGAAAAAGTATTGAACATGAATAAGGAAATTTAATATTCATCAGAAAGTTGCGATATTTTAACAAGAAAGCTCATATCGAACATGTTTTTTCACATAATGGGATCCATTAAAAAAAATAAAACAACACAACATCAAGTTATCCTTCCTAAATCCCAGAAGCCCTATATTTTATGCCGACTCAATAAAAAAACCAACGAACCCCCAGCTCTCATTATACGTCCAGTTATTTAGACGGTATATTACCATCGAGGCATAAATCTGTACGTCCATAGCCAAAATGCTCTTGTATTTAATACTAAAAATCAATAATTAAGCGATATATGTAATTAATATGCCGTGTTCGCGGCGCACGCATGCATTATAGAGCACTGAGTATGCATTATGAAAATGACGATGATAAGCCAGGAGGATAGCTGTACGTTTTTATATTTACTAATATATAGCCGGCTTTAAAAGGCTTTAGTATGGTTCATGGTTTATTTAAACAGAGTTGATATTGCTGTTCGGCCGCAACATGAATTGTTTTCATTGGATTGTTTCGGTTTTTTTTTTCAATCAATAGTAAAAGCACAGAGATTTAATCGATTTATATGAAACCTTTTTTTTGGATTTCGAAATGACAGTTCGTGTTATATAAAAAAAGAAATATTTGAATTATATTATGTAAATAATGCGTCAATGAAATAAAAGATATAAGATTATAATTCAAACAGAATTTGTTTTTAACGGCCGAAAGCATTAAATGGCTTACATATATTTAGTACACAATTTAATTACTAAAATAAATAGTTGTAAAAGTTTTGTATTTAAAATAGCGGAGCTGGAAATTTTATAATATAATGAGGTCGTATTTTAGCAAGATAGCTTTGTAAGGCCGTTATCTCTACCCAACAGTGTTGTAGGTTTCGCCCGACGAAGCACAAAATTATTGATTGTCGTAATTAATTGCGAACAGACTCCGATAAGCGATAACATTTAAAAATATTCACATTATTATTTGTCATCAATAACTGATACATATTCAGTTCAATCATATCTTAAAATAAAGATGATATTAATCCTTTATCGACGATTTATCTTTTATCTTAAAGCATACAATAAATCTTATGTTTCTTTAAAGATAAACTCGCAATCAGAGGAAAAGGATTTGTATATAAATATGTATAAGTTGCGAGAGTATCGCCGCAACATCCGTCAGTGCCAGTTCCTCACTAATCCTCATTAATTACTTTGCAATTTTAAATCTCATTATAGTCATTCAAAACGGCGTGCCATCGATTTTTCCCGCTACAGATGCACGCATACTCTGTCGTAGGTAATCAGGTGACGCGCAAGTGCCACCATGATTTATGGATTTATGGATTCTGTGGATTCATTCGCTTTGTGGATTTTACAGATGATACGGTTTTCATTTGTAAATGATGTGATAAATTTGCTTTAAATGCTTCCCGTTTTTGATTTAATTTTATTTAAAATATGATGTTTTTACTGTAATTTATGACTTATGTGCGATATCTAACTTCAAAAGTTAAGAGTTTGAGTTTGAAGACATATAACTATTAATACCATGAGTGGAATAAAATTATTTTGGTTGCATTAAACGATACAAACTAATGTAATACTGTTTTAAATTTCTTAAGAACAAATCGTTTATAAAGTATTATATTAGGAGTATATTTGTTTGAGATTAGAGACTCCGTAAATCCTCTAAAATGATGGTGTACCTACAGTAGGTATCCGTCTGACCGTTGTATCGCATTGGCGCAAATTAATGAGGGTGGGATATTTATTCCTGGGTTTCGTTTGCAGTTGCCCGACAAAATATCAATTCACCTCTCGATCTGTGTATGTGTGTGTGCTTGTGCGTGTGTATGTATGTGTGTGTGTGTGTGTCAGGTGATATGCAAATGTTTCGTCCGTCAGGCGTACTGCAGTAATGAGCTCATTAAAGCTGATATAGCTATTGAAGCTGCGGCTTATAACGGCTCAACTATTTAACTGCATTCAGGATCAAGCTATCAAAATGTGAACGAATCGGTAATATATATTTTCAACTTCAGCTCCTTGATTTATTATATATTTACTCATTTGCGAATATTTAATGATTTATTTCTCGCGTGTTTTATAAAACGAAAAGCTTTTTGAGTTGTGAAATAGAGAAAATTATAAACAAACATATTAATTGTTTAGAATTTATTTATACAAAATGAATTCCGCTACTTGCAGTCATAAAAATTGTAACAGTAAGCTGTCGAAATTAACTCGCTAAGTAAACATCACTTCAAAACCATACAAATACAATGTTAAATTACCAGGACCGCTTACAATTGTAAGTTATTATAAAATTTGCATTATTGTTATATAATTTCAATTGAACTTAATTTTCACAACCGAATGCAGTCCTCAATAAATCTAACTTTAATAAAATATTATTGTATTACTAAACAAATCTAAATCTCATTTAGAAAGTATAAGAGCGTTTTCAGACCGTTTTAAATAATACAAAATTAATATGACAACATAAATATTTAACGTCAAATGATACACATCAGTAACACATGATATTCTAAGGTATATTATCTACATGGACAGGTTTCACATAATCAACAGACAATTCTTATAACTAAGTATACATCTACTCAACTTTGATTGCACAACTATTGCACTTTACAAGATGCATTTACAACAAATTATTCACATTTTTTTATATATACAATATTAAATTTCTATTATAATTTTCTTTAATCCTCATTCCGATCGATATATAATTACAAAGAATTGAATTTTTTTTTCAAATTTTATTATATATCAATTATAAAAACAAATCGTTTCTTAGTTTTTAATCGTCCAAAATTATAATGAAAATATTACCTGTCGCATCATAAGGACGGGAGCTATGTTAAATTTTATCTCGTTTTCATATCGATCGCCTATATTCGAACGTTTCGTTGCATTGGCCAAATTACTTTAATAAACAAATTACGGCCTCGAAATGGTCTGTTTGAATACTTTGATATATTCAATAGGGCCGCCAAACGGTGTTGCTGTCTGGTTGGGGATTCCCCCGCTGTCCTAAACTAACCCTTCCATCTTCCCCCCTCGCGGCCGCAGCAGCACACGAGTTCCCACCCAACAAGTCCTGCCCGTGACCCTGCCTATGGTTCGTGGTTGATGATATCTGATCCATCATAGTCTGTAGTTCGTTGTGATGATTCTGCGTTGAATGGATGGAGTTCGAATGAAGCGGATGGAAGTTGTGACTTTGATTAGCTGCTGTATATAATTGACTGTATAGCAGGCTGGCCGGTAGAACTGGGTATAAGGAATTATTGCAATTGCTGCTTCCGTATGATGCGTTCTGAGTACTCATTAGCGAGAAGTTGGAGTTCGAATGGTTGTGGCCGATGTTGGTTGTTGTGTTTGATGTTAAAAGGTCGTCTTGGACCGGGGATTCTGGTTGTGAGCTGTTGTCGCTGAGTGAGCGTGGGCCGGTGGATAGTGTGTAGTCTGTGTTGTTGTTGTATCTAGGTAGCAAGCTGCCGTGGTGTGATGGAGACGATCCAACTAGACCGGACAGCTGTTGATCCAGATCCACTCCCGTCGTATCCGGTAGAACTGCACAAATAGACACTTTTTAATATGGTTTATATTTTTGTTGTATCATAGGCAATAAATCCATCGGATCGGACGCGAGCGTTATAAATTATATTGAGAGCGGTTTAATGTCCTGTATGGCAGCAGGCGTCCCCAACTACGGGACGGTTTTAAGGAGGATGTCAGTCGTAAACCATGTTGGTACATTTAATTTCACCATTCTGGTTTCATGGTTTTTACTTCCAAAGACGTCGGATTTGAAAAGCATGTGCACATGGAAGTCAGGTATCAGTTAATTTTAAACATTAATGTTAAAAATGTGACCAATAAGATGATTGTAAGAAGCAATTGGTTAACGGCAAGCGTATATAAATAATTAATCTTTAGACTAAAGACGCATTCCCTAACAAGTGCTGACTTATATGATATTAATTTAAATATGTAGAGAGCTAAGTAAATAAATAACTTAATAAAAAGTTGCTTAAATATCATAAAATTCACATCATTACAATACGTAGAAAATTACAACGAAATTTAAGTTAAAAAAACATCTTTAATATTTTTAGTTGTGTATGAAATCTTCCTAAATACTTAAGTTTGTTTTTAATTGTAAATGCAGCAATGGACTTGTTGTTGTCTTCTTAATTGGTACTAATTGAGGGAAACAAAAACTTATCAAACAGTCAATACAACTGAGCATTCATTAAATAGTTATTTAAAACATTCCACTTTTCGAGAAAAAACTTCAATTTGTTAAGTATGTATAATAGAATCATGACTAAATTACAATGTACAAATTTGTGGGTGATTAATTTTTCAAGACACTTTTTTTTTTAAATGTTTATACCAGACGTCGTTTTAAGCAGAAGTATTTTTAACTTTTCACTTTACGTTAAAAATAATTAATTGTTTCGACGAAGCCTAAACTATTTTCTGACAAATATTACAAAGTTATATTGTTCACCCACTTATCAATAAAAAATTTGAGGTGCTAATACTTTTCAGGTACCTATCACAGTTTGAGCTTTAAACTATTACATATTTTTATTATTATTGACGCCTCTCTAGGGAGTAAAAACACCTAACCCTATTTACATCTATACTTGTCTTCATTCACTAATAGTGTTCAAACGTTTTGGATGCTTTAAGTGAAAAGACCAATAATACAAGCTAAAACTACAGTTGAAGTTGAGCTAAATAATAATATATACATACCAGTGTTATTAGTGAAATCCTGAGTTGGAGTTTGTTCAGGGACGGAACCAGCGAAGCCTAATGTTGGTGTATTGAACTGTGTAGCTGGTGCAGCACACGATGGAAGGTATGCTGGGTAGGCGCCCGCACCACCGTAGCCCCAATGAGAGTTACTCGAACTCAAACCAAATTGACTCATATCTGAAAATATTCACTTATTTTAATTATTTAATTTATGAAGCACCTATATTCCTTGGGCCTATTATGTTTTATTTCTATAGCCTTAGTCGATTAAAATACTCGTCGTAGAAGTCGCTTCTATTAAATAGGTTACCCTTTCACTCTACATTTTAAATAATAAGTATATGTTTTTTATCTTATTGTTATTTTAATCCATACACTCTAAGACTAATTACTTTCATGGTAGAAATTGTAATTAAATCATCAACATTTTTTTAAAAGAGTAAGTGCATATAAACAAACAACCGTACCAACACATTAGAGAAATGTAAGCAGCATTGGTAATGTGAAATGTTTTAAAAATATGTGCATAATACACGGAAATCCGATATAGATATAAAAAAACAATAGGTACATTCACTAACCGAAGTGTGCGTGATAATATCATTCTATACTGTTCGGAAAATCTAAACAAGCCAAAAAAAGGTTGTGAAATATATTCAGTTTCGTGTAGAGTTGAAAATTATACGAGAGCTGGCAGCACTTATAAAGATATCGAGAGTGGACAAAACGCACGCCGGTGGAGGCACGTTGCGTCCACTTTATTTTTTCCGGAGTATTACAGGCTTTTATTTTTTGGTATCACGGTTCCGTTTTTGGCCGACGATCGGCGGACTCGGTTTTTATACGATACGCTCTCGCCGCGTCGATTTGTGAATGGTTTTTTTTTTCATCGTTCTGAACCGCCCGAGTTGTTTCGGGCCGTGGATTTTAGCGGGCTCTATGCATGCTTGTTCGATTGGGTTCGCAGTCGGCTCCCATATAGTTTTTTTGTCGGCGGCTGATTGAATCCGCGCTTTAGTGAGCGTAGTTTACCGTATCGCAACGCGGTTTCGGTGACTCATTCACTTTTGAGCTATCACGCGCGTTATAAGGTTTGAGTGCGGTTTGAAATTTAGATTGCTACTTTGACATGCATTTCATAGACGTCGGAATTTGTTGCAAATTTACTGCTTCAATAAAATTTATGATATGTAAAGAATAAAACAAATATATCTGTGTACAAAATAGAGTTAAAGGATAATTATAATAGAATTAATTGAATAACACTTACTCTGACATGTAGTAATCGGTGGCATCCGGAATCCTCCCAGGGGATCTGGTGGGAAAGGAAACGGCCGCTGACCAAATGCGAAATGAAATTGCTGCTGCTGCCCTAGGAGAGACAACACTACATAAGTACGATACTGACTGTTCTTGATTACAAACATTGTTGTATAAACATACAAATATATACATACATAATTAATAACATACCAAAATTGTTAGGAGTATGGATTCGTATAGATGATGGAATATAAGGACGTATTGTATTAGCGGCTAAGGACCCACCTATTGTAATATTCTAATCAAAAACATGTAGTTATTGCTTCATTAAGATGCAATAGAAAGGAAATATAAATATATTATACATATTTTTAATCTCGTATAAATTGTTTATATTTATGCCTTAAACGTATAAATAGTTCAATTCATTATAAAAAAATCTTTATATATTTGAAAACAAACTTAAGTGTTGAAAAACATATTATTGAACATTATTGAAATCATCAAAATGAAAAATTAATATTCCTCCTAATTTTGACATAAATTAACATCATCAAAAACATTAAAACGTAATAATTAACGGTATACGTGCGTACCGTTTACGTTTTTGATTCAACGTTTCCGTATTGGGTTATAAACCAATCGGCAACCCTGATCGAGGTATGTACGTTTTGACAAATACAGGTGTTGTCATTGACGTAAATGACGTTTTCACCCTAACAGAAAGTAAGGGGATTTGACTGACGATGAACTGAGTTAATTGGAGAGGAATTCTTTATAACTGCGATACATGTCATATGTATGAATTGTAATAATATATTAAAAGTATTATAGTAATTTTGAATTAAATATAACCAAGTTTTGCAATTTTTTTCCTATTTATTTTTATGTCAGCAAATTTTTAAGTCATGCGTTAAAATATAATTGTCAATCCATTATGAGATATTTTACAATCTTACCTACATTACATATTTTTTTTAGTTTTTCACTTTAACTCACGGTATACATGTTAATAATAGCCGATTAATATAAAACTTAAATGAATTTAAGTTTATCTTAAAACTTTACATATATTCTATATTGGTAAGGTATCTGGGTTTACAGGTCAGGTCAAAGAATGCTTTATCTTATTCTTGTATGACCCAATAAAGACTTAGAACATGTTTACTTATAATAAAATAAATATAAGTTGGTATAGGACCGTACTTAGAATTCTATCGATATCGTACTTTACGTACTTTGCGTACCGTTACCGTATTTAGAATTCTATCGGTGAAGTTATTTACCAACTATATTATAATACGACTATTTTAAACTCAATTTTAGTGAGTGGTTTAACAAGATTTATCAGTGAAATAATCCAATATATTTATATGGTTGTATTTCTCATTATATTTCTATAACATCTTTATCTGATACTAATTTTAATAAATCAGTGGAATCACAATATTAAGCGTCTATTAAACATAATCACAATAGTTACACAAACTGGTGGTGTGATGTTTCAACGAACAATACCAAGCAGATATCAAAAACCTAACGCAATTAAAACACTGTCAAAGCAGCATTTCACATAAACGCCATTATACACAACATTAAATTGATAAATGCACACACACGAGAATCGCTACACTCACACATGTATGGCACCCGCGTAAAGATTCAATGTATAAATCAACTGTGCAACAATTACACACTTTCATGGCAAGTTTGAATTAGAAACTGTCATTTGCACCGTTCGAGGGGTTGGATGGGAGTGGGGGTGGGTTTGGGGGGTATGTAACGGATGGGAGGGAAAAATGGGGTGCCGGCAAGGGCTACTGTGGACCTGATTAAAGGATTACACAGGGGTGGTCCGATCTAGTTAGATTTATAATGCCAAGTATTTCAACTAGTTACTCTTACTTTATCCTAAGTCCAGTCGGGGGGCTACTTAAATGTGAGCAGATCGCCTGTCTGTTACGTATAGCTGTAGATTAAGGATTGTCTGAAATAAAGTCGGCTATGTGTGAGACAGGCTAGACACTACACACTAGACACCAGACACTATACTTTAAATACGGTGTATGGTAATTGGAATGTGATCTATTTTTCCAATGAACGATATTAGAAAATAATTGAATCGAACTTACACTTGACTACACGAATAAAGAAGAATTCTTTAATTATTTTATAATTACATAATAACTTTAAGTCACTAAATAAGTGTATTTCTCTATAAGAAAACTTAAACTTGATGATCAAATCTAAATAAATTATCAGTTTATTTTTATAAAACAGTGATTCATACTGTTTAAATAAAATATCTAAAAGAAAACGGATGATTATTATTGAACGCGAGTTCATTATAACGATCATAATCAAACATAATGAAACAATCAATTTACATGACTAAATTTATAACAAAAAAGTATATAAATGGCTTGACTTTATTATAACCAAAAACGTGTGAAGTAAACAATAGCTGCTAACATGTAAACAAGCACGGGTGGTCCCTAGCAGTGTATCCAAAATAGACAGCTTTAAGAAAAACATCGTTAATGCGAAAGATTATTAAATTTTAGCTACCGTTCAACGGTACCACCCACACGCTGTTAAAAATAGGAAGGATGTTATACGTGTTCTAATGTTAACGGGTTCGGGGCTTTGTTTTAACTTTGTTTTGTTTTGTTTGAAATTGTTGTTCCAACATTCTGCTATATTATGATCGCCGCTGGCTTAAAGTTACAATGATATCACATTACTTGAATAATATAATATTATATTTTTATTAATGTCCTAGTATCCAATATTTATAACGTTATCAAAATATTTTACGTACGCCACAATTACAGAAAGGGGTCGTACTTAAAATAATTAATCCGACCCAAAGTCTGCCGATTATAATTTTCTAACCAGGACTCGACGTAACAACGGCTTAAAAACCAAACATCAGCCAAGTTCTTAAACTGGGAAAGTTCCAGAGGAACCTTGTCATCTATTCAATTAAAACTAAAACTATCATTAAATGTAAAAACATTTTCAACCCTCGAAAACACAAACAAGGGAAACCGCAAAACATTTGTAAAGCTCACTAATGAAGATAATTTATTATTAATTTTCATGGATACCCTTAAATTAGGCTAATTGTCTAAAAACTTATATTAATATAAACCAGAATAAGATGATACTTGAGATCTCAAAGACGTAGTATGGGGTGGTGTAATTAATATACTTCGTAGGCCGATATTAGACGGACGATTTAAATAGTTGGTAGCTAGGTGACGGTAACAAATGGTTGGATGGATGGATGGATGGATGGAGGGACAAACGAAGCTCCGAATCACACCTAATGCCCGATCAATTCACATCGCGTGGATACATTAAAATAATTGTTCTTGGAGTTGGCGTGGTAAGGGTTGTATTTACGTACGAACTCTCAAGATTATAGCATACACATAATATGTTTTATAGAGAATCCTGGATTACATATTGTTACTGTTTTAATTACTTACAAAAATTTCGAGACGTAATAGTAAAAGATTTAATCTGTTTTGAATCACGTTGTAATCAAATAATCAAAATGACTACGATTTTATTTATAAAAATCTCATTAGGAAATATTAAAATAATTATCATCGCTAAAAGATTTCGATAAAAACAAACAAACATTTCAATAAAATAGGAAAAACGATCCTAAACACATTAGATATCAAACGAACCTTTGTAAGTAATTAAATTTTATACTAACATAACATTAAGCCTGCCATTCGAACTATCTAGATGAAAAATGTAAAGGATCCAACCCTTCCAGAGACGAATGTATGTACAAAGAGGCATGTAATGAATCGGTTGTTTAATTAATTAGTCAAGAAAGGGCTCGGGCGTGCATGTTCTGCATATTGATTTATTATGCCGAGCCTCGCCGATAAATTATTTAATTCAAGTTTCTCCGAGTTTCATATGTAGGTATATTAATGACTTGGGAATTTCCTTCGGATGTTACAGCCTGTGTCTATGGGATATGGTTTATCTCGGTATTGGGATTGAACAAGTGTGTAATAGGAAGCTTTAGCATAAATTAAACTGGGTTACTCAAATTAATGTTGTTCATATGTTTTAAATAGTTTCGTATGAGAAGGGAAATTATGATTAAAAAAAATATTAAAAACCAAGCTTCGTTATGTACCTTTCATAATCTATGTATCAAAAGTCTAACTTAAAAGTATGAGGAGATGGGAAATTGTTTCGATAAACCGAAGATTAAATTAATGTTTAAAATGTCATTATTGACTTCATATTAATTCAAGTAAAATACTTTTTAATTATACCCATCTATCTCTGCGGAATATGACGCAAAAATATTAACTCCTTTGGAATTGGGGTATCTGTTTTTATAGAACAGCAAAACTACTTACACCCTATAAAAAGCTACTTTATATCATCGTTTTGGGCCAGTACATGGTACGGGGTAGCGGCGTGACTTGCCTCGTTCATTTATATCGTGTTAAGTGCAAATATTACTATCGCAGAGACTGTTAAAAATGTCACAGTTATGAAAAGATAACGAGACGTGTTTATTTCCCGTTATGAAATAAAAGATTCTAAAAGAATAAGTAAGAAATAAGTGTATGTGTATGTATGTGTAAAATACTAACTGGTCTTTGACCGAGGTTCCCTGGGTCCGTCCACGGTGACTTTGATAGCCTTATTGTAGGTTGTGACTTGCGGAGGCGTTGTTGATATCGTTATCGTCAATGTGAATGATTTCCCTGTAACAATATAAACAGTTATAATATGTCGCAATAGAAAATACATGTAAAATAGTTGATACACATTATAATAACAATATATTGAAATAATTCGTCAAATTCTTTAGTTTAATTTTAATGGTAGGTTCACACATATCCATATTCGATAAATCTGTAAAATATTTATTCAAACTTTTTACTCAAAATGAGTGGAAGCAATAAATTCAATCTGTGGTCGCTACTCTTTTCGCCAGTGTCCACTTTTTGTAGTTCGATTTTGATCACTTGTTCGAAAAGTTAAAAATTTATAGCAGTTTTGTTTTCAATTTGTACGTCGAATAAAAATTTTCAATAACGATAGTTTTGCTTGTAACTGAAAAGCAATAAAAAATAACTGAACACATCAGTTTGGATATTCAATTATGAAACAGCATAATAAATTAAATTAAACTCAAGTAATGGCTGTCAATGGCTGGAGCACTGCCTATATCAAAATACCAAACAAATAAGCACTTGAAGCGAAATGACATATCAAAGTGGAGAGCATAAAAGAGCAACTCATCCAACAACATATCAGAGCGCGTCACAAACAACGGGCTGACCACTTCATCACAGCATAACGCCGGCAATAAAAAAAACATTTCCATCTGCGGAAAAACCACAGTTAATATTAAATGACCGTCCGTCAAAGCTGTATTGTGGAGCGCTTTGCCGTCCGCCGCGGGATGCAACCAATACCGATTTTCTGATTTTTCCCCCTGTGGGGAGACAGAGTGACATGTAAGCTTTAATGGGGCCTGAGCGGCACGCCGCCGGCTACACGCGAAAAAACTGAAAAAAAAGCCTCATTCATACGTGATTTCATGTGTAGGCTACTTTCTGCGGGAACGGTTTGCTCGTTAAAAATGGAGGTCGACACGAACGGGCTTGTTGCGGCAATGGAGTTTATTAACGGAGAGGAGACCGCGTCGTTAACACTCATGGGAATACACGTGTCGTGATATTCATAAGATATGTACATGGAAATATTTGTTACGGATTATATTGAGTTTATTATCGATAATGATTTATAAGAAATAAGCGATTAACATGTATAATATGTACACGTTCGTAAGTTCATACTCACTAATAATATTACATAATCAGTAATCTATACATTTTTTATACAGAGTCCTGATTCATTTGAGGTGAAGAAACATTTCGTGTATCATATAATAAGTAGTAGATAATATCATAACAAAAAGCGTATCCCAAGGTTGAATTCCGTAAACATTACTAAGTACATATACAAATATCTTAAAACCCAGTCCCCAAACTAATCAAGTGTCTGAATAACGACACCTTTAACGCTATCAGAACACGCCATTACACCAACTTATCCCGAAAAGAGCTAGCGAGTTATTAAAAAATCACAAAACAGCTATAGCACGAGATGTTCGGTGCCAGGTACGAACAATGCCTAAATAAATAACCCCACTTAATGTACCGGCGCACGGCACAACGGCTCACAATTTCCTCACCCCGGCCCTTGTCGCACGCTAAATGATGTTATTTTTCGAGATTGATTTATGTACGACATGATTTTATTATGGTTTAGAATGAAATTAGCACCTGACGGTTCGTTACAGCTGTCTCACATCACCTTTTATTAACCTTTGTTTTATATAACATTTTTGTTTGTTTATTGAATATAGAAACGTGTTTGTTATTGTCAGTTAAAGTGAGATTTATTGTTATTAATGATATGGCTTAAATTTTTAATATTATATTAACATAAGTAATCGAGACACTTGTCCTTACAATACCTGTTCAGTCATTTGATGTTATCGGTACATATGAGACAATTAGTAACTAACTGTACGAACAACGCTTAGTGCCACTCGCGACTACTCCAACCTAGCAATTTACTGCGACCGACATTGTTAGCAGGATAAGCCAACGAATACGGCACGAAATATATCGAAAGCTCGCTAAATATTAATACCGGAATATGGTTTAGCTTCCATAACACACAAGTATAGTGCCTTTGTAATGTTTAAACATTTCCAAGCTAAATCTTAAACATTAAACTACACAGATCAGTGATATTTTAATCCTAAAACATAAGACGTATGAATTTGATTCTAGTTTGTAGAAATCCTATCAGTTCTTATCCATACAAAGCTAGCGTTCGGTAACGCAGACGACATTTCCTAATAGCTGGATGCAATCCAATTTGACAGCTGTCAAATACACTCCTTGCCGTGTCAGCCGCGGCGATTACTACGATGTTGGACGTAACGACGTGCTAATGCTTACGTGCGCGCTAATTGACTGAATTAATATGCTGATTGCTCATGTAAGCTGAGCTCGGTATACCTACTGTTGTTATATAGATATTGTTGACACAACGCTTTGATGTTTCATTCTTAATATGATGTTGTTAGTTCTGAAGTCAACGTCTTATAATATAGGTAATATTGGATTGGTGATTTTCGGGGTGTTTCAGCGATACAAGCAATTCGTATTAGCTCATCTATAGAAGTCATTAAAATAATTGATTGCAAAAACATTGGTTCCGGTTATTGTATGACTATAGAATTGATGTTGAAGACCCTATTCTGTTGAGGGTATACATTGAATGATACAAAGTGATAGTAAAATCGGGTGTGTTAGTGATACCGCACGCATAGTTACATAACTTGTGGTCCGCGTTTAGCGCAACTACCCCGAAACCGAGAGGCAACCATAAATGAAATGGTAGTTTTCCGCGGCTAACCGGCGTGGGCTGGCGGGTTGCGGCCACGTTATGGTTGACAAGGGCCTGTAACGAGCGACCGCGCTCAGCCTACACGATGTTTGCCAGTTTCGCAAAACGTTCTCAAGCTGTAACTCATTTCAGTTACTATGACATTGTTAATGTAATATAATCAACGTGTACGTTATGATTCCCAACGGACGGGATGCAGCGGTAATCAAAGCGAGGCCGGCTAGCCACAATATATTTGTATTAAGAATTCTTCAAAGGAAAATTTTTATTCAAATGGCTATGCGACCGCAGGCGCGGCCCCGCCTCCGTTGAAGACGTTGCTTTTCCGACCTTTTCCATTGGCTCCGACGAGGAAGGCGGGCCGGTCTTCGTCTTCTAGAACAACTTTCCATTTGCACAACTCTGAAATATTGCCGGATTAAAACACCGAGAGGAACTTCTCGATGCGGTTTTTCGATTCGTTCTTTTATAACGGATCTTCCATTACTTCTAATAGCTGCCATAAATACAGTGTGTTAGCAACGCTGAGGCTGGCTTTATATTCTTATTGCATATCACTGTAAACGGTATTAAATAAATTACTTTTTATATTTAATATACTTTTAAGATTAATGGATTTCTATTATGGTTACAAAAAAATGATATAAAAGAACATGAAGTCCATACGATGCGAACTATTCTTAAGTTTTTTTTAATGTAAGCTTCTTTAATATGAGATATATAAATCAGACTCTAATTAAAAATCTTCTATAAAAATTATCTCACGTCTTCGTCATTCGTTGGAAATTTATTTTAGAAATTAAACTTACTATGTATGAAAAAATATAGTATGTAAGTACTATGTCTTTTTCTCTATTTTATTCTTGAGGGTTATTAAAATTTCATATTGGTGTTAAAATTTTAATAAAATAATATTTACCGCGAAGTTAATGACTCTATTAATAGCTTCCTAAAACTGTGTTTTAGTAACTGCAGAGATTAAATTTCAAAAAAATATTTCTTATTATCTAATAATAATTTAAAGAAGATATATTCTTTATATTTTACGTTTCACTAGTACTTAGAAGTAAAAACAAAATTATTAAAATCGTACCTACAAATTAATTCTATTAAAACTTGAAACTACAAAAAAATCGATTACCAATCCATTAATTGGAAACTTGTTATAAGAAAATCTTTAGTGAATTATTCATTAATACGTACTGAATAGAAACATAAAAAAGTTAATTCATTGTTCGACGAATACTGTGTTTTCATGTAATAGGTATATGTTTAATAAAGTATGTAGTGATATACTATGGTAATGTGATCTGTTATCAAATCAATCATGACCGGGTTAAATTAAAAGAATAAAATCATTGAAAACAATATAGTAATGTACAGTAAATATTCTGTACATTTAGCTAAAACTAAATCCAATAGAAGATGAGTCTTTGAAGCAAGTTTTAAACTTCGAATTCCGTACGAGACAATATACTTACGAAAATGTTTAAAGAATAAGAGTTTTCAAGGAATGAAATTATTGGTTTTATAAATTTTCTATAACAACAAATCAAACATGTACCGTCAATGTAACCCTATTGTGTTGTAAATAAAAAAAAATAATATTAAATTACCTAAAAGTCATAATAATAAGCAAACTTTACGATTCAAATCCGAAATTAATAAAGGTACTGGAACTATGACATAGAAAGCAATTTTAATAGTTAATTCAACTTCACAGCCCTGTCATGAATCGTGATAGAACTTTATAATTGACGGTTCTTGGTACCTATTTGTGTGTGGAAAAATATTAATATACACGTCTCCGCACATTCGTTATGAATTTAAATGTTAGATATATCTAAAGATTTATCTTCAGATATACATACATGTAATAAATTTTTCACATTTTTTATAGGTTTTATGGCTTATTACGAGGCTTGTATCTTATACGAGTCTCGATCTTCCTTACCAAGAAAGATTTCTAAAAATAATATTATATACCTATTATAATTATAAAAAAGTCTGAAATATGTTATCAATATTCATAGAACTACTATAGTGCACAGATAATTCATTGCATTAAGTCTTTTTAGACATTCTTTCGTAGTCTAAAATGTTACATTATGCTGGTCAAATTTTGTGTGGTATTTTGGAGCAAAATGAAAATACTTCATGAAGCGAAATGAAATAACTGTCTGTGAGATCACGAACACTGTATGTACATTGTACACTAGACAGGTTATGACGACCTATTAATATTGAAGAGCTAATCTATTTTGCAGACCCT